AAGTGTGTGGGATCTGGCCCTGGGTGGCGTGAATAAATGATGACACCCAAAAAAATCGATGACCAGGAACGACGTAGTTGTTCTTTTTTTATTTATTTTTTTTGTTATGAATATTTGCAAGTAAGTGTGTGGGATCTGGCCATGGGTGGCGTGAATAAATGATGACACCCACAAAAAAACGATGACCAGGAACGATGAATAGTTTTTTTTTTTTTTTTTTGTGATGAACATTTGCAAGCAAGTGTGTGGGATCTGGCCCTGGGTGGCGTGAATAAATGATGACACCCACAAAAATTAAAAACGATGACAGGATAAACCGAACAAACACAGAAGCCTCCATCCAACGAAACAACACAACAGTCGTTGCGGCGGCCATTCCTAAAAAGCTGGCAGACCAACGGGCGTAGCTCAGCTGGTACACCCATGAACTGTTGAAATATGAATCAGACCCACGTTCGAATCCAGATACTGTCAGATGAAAAAAACAAAGAGAAAAGCTGGCAGCCAAAAAGAAAGGAAAGGGAAACAGAAAGAGAAGGAAGAGCCATTGCGGCGGCTTACGGAGAGACAATGCAAGCCCTGACAACATTCACCTACAACAGCTATAGCATATCGGCACGCAAGGACAAAGGAGGAGGAGGAGGAGGAGGAGGAGGAGGTGAAACAGCAGGAGAGAGAGCATATACATATGGATATATATGCACAGACCCCCATTATACCTCTTTCCCGCTCACCCTACCACCCTACCTCCCTCTGTTCCCCCTGATCAGGACAACCACGCTTAAGTGAATCAGCAGACAGGAAGGAACATAAATCGAACGGAATTTAGACTTTAGTTAGTCCGTCGCACACTCAATCAAGGCCAGGGCACGAAGCTGTGACTTCTTAATCCGGCGGCATCACCTCTTGAAGACAATCAGCCCAACACCGCAGTACACCAATTAAGGGGGGCCCACACAACAAAGAAAAAGAGGGAAAAAGAAAAAACACTATACTCGTCAGATCATGATCCATCCTACAGGCCAGTGGAATGACCAAAAAGACAAACCTCCTCCTCTTTCTTTGCCCTGTTGCTACTACGCAGAGCAGCCGCAAAAGTAGCAGTAGGTGGTGCCGCTTCAAGAGGTTTTGAATGCGGCTTGGATCTGCTCTACCAAGCTCCTCCCTTTCGTCTCAGGCACGATTCGCAGCACGAAGATGACCTCCTCCTCCTCCTCCTCCTCCTCCTCTGTCCTTCTGCTATTACGCAGGGCAGCCGTAAAAGTAGGAGAGTAGGTAGTGCCGCTTTCAAGAGGTTTTGAATGCGCGGCTTGGATCTGCTCTAATCGTGTTCCTCAACTTTCGTCTCAGGCACGACTCGCAAGACGAAGAGAACCACCTCCTTCTGTGTCCTACCTTTCGCCTCGGGCATGATTCCCAGCACGAAGAGGACATCCTCCTCCTCCTCCTCTGTCCTTCTGCTACTACGCTGGGCAGCAGCCGCAAAAGTAGGAGAGTAGGTAGTGCCGCTTTTAAGAGGTTTTGAATGCGGCTTGGATCTGTTCCAGGGTTCTACCTTTCGTCTCGGGCACGATTCGCAAGACGAAGAGGACAGTAAACACGCACTCGGCGGCGAACAAGACGAAGGAACCTGAGTGGCTCCAGGTAAGAAGCGATTGGAATGTCAGCGTGACAACGAAGGAGCTCAGCCAGTTCATCAGCGTGGCCAGGCTACCTGCTAATCCCTTCACTTGTACGGGGAAGATTTCGGCCATGATGATCCACGGAATCGCGCCCATACCCAGAGAGAAAGCAGCGATGAAAGCCAACAAGCTCAAAATAGCGAGAGGAGAAACAAGCCACTCCGCCGCACTACCGGCGGGAAGAGAGTCCTTTAACCAGAAAGAGATGGCCATGCCGAGGTTCCCCATAGCCAAGCCAGAAGCGGAGACGACGAGGAGGACCTTGCGGCCCAATTTGTCCATCAATCCCACGGCGACAGCTGTCATCACCACCTGCAGGACTCCAACGGACAAGGTAGCCACGTTGGGGGATCGAATCCCGGCGGCTTCAAAGATGGAGCTGCTGTAGAACATCACTGCATTAATACCGCAAAACTGCTGAAGGACGGACAAGCCTACCCCTACGACGAGAGGCCTAACTAACCCTCGCGCGAAGACGTCTTTGAGCTGGGTCTTGGGCTCGGAGAGAGAAGACGCAACGGCCGCCCTGATCTCCGCGATCTCCATAGAGATATCGTATCTGTTGCCACGGAGCCGACGCATTACCCCCGCCATCTTCTCCGACTCCCCCTTTAGCGCCAGCCATCGGGGGGTCTCCGGGACCACCACCAAAGTACCCACTAGGAGTGCCACTAACGGCACGATCGACACGGCGGCGAGGATCCGCCAGGTCAGGAAAATGCCGAGGAAATAAACCAGAGTTATACCCACGGTGATCGCGAGCTGGTTAATGGCGCCAAGACCGCCTCTAAGTCGGCTGGGGGAAATTTCGACAATGTACACGGGCGCGGCAAATGAGACGACGCCGACCCCCGCGCCCAAAATTAGTCTCCCCGCGTAAAGCGCCGGCAGGCCTTGGGCGGTTAAAATCAAACCCCACCCGAGGACCTGGCAGATTGCCGCCCACAATAAGGCCATCCGCCTCCCCACGGCATCCGCCAAGCTTCCGCTCACCAGCGCACCGGCCATCGCGCCCACGTTTACCAGCGCGCCAAACAGCGAGCTCTGCGCTGTCGTCATCGCAAACTCCTCCGCGATTTGCGCTTGCGTCGGCGACGTGTATCCCAACGCCATTCCGAAGGACAGCGGGCCCAAAGCCACTAGCAACGTGGCAAGCAGTGTGAACGACGCGTCATCTACCTCCCTTATTGTCCCATTCCCATTCCCAGCACCGCCGCCGCCGCCGCCGCCGCCGCCGGTGGTACCAGTCCCTGTCATTGCGCGCGTGTCACTGATCTCGACGCTCCCCGCCGCGGACAACAATGGGACCATTGATACCGTGAAATCCTCCTCGGCGCTTCCCGCCGGGTCAACATTTCCCGCCTCCAACCCCACCAAGCCATCGGCAGCGGCAAATCTTTGCCGCCGATCTGTATCACGTGCGCTATCATCTAACGCGGGCATCTTGCGCGATCGGGCGCCTTCTCTTCCCACTTCCTTCCCCCGTACCCCTTCCAGCTTCCTCCCGCCGCCAGCTACCTACCTCCCTACCTACCTACCTACCTACCGCCTCTTCTTCCCCGCACAACACGTCCTTTTTGTCAAACAAGCTATTACTCCCGACTCTTCCTACAGCTTGCGCGCGCGACCGGACGCCTTGTGTTTAGTTACGTTCCCACGTACCCCGTCCACCTTTTCCCCGCCACCTACCTACCCCGCCTCTTCTTCGCCCTTTCCAGCTGTTTTACCCGCCATCTACCTACACCGCCTCTTCTTCCCCGCGCTGCACGTTTTTCTTTTTGGTTTGTTTGGTTTTTCGCCCCCGTCCACCTTTTCCCCACCACCTATCGACCCCGCCTCTTTTTCCCCCTTCCAGCTTTTTCCCGCCACCTACCTACCCCCCCCCTTCTTCCCCCCTCCCCCCTTTTCCCCCCCCCCCCCCCCCCCCCCCCTCTTCTTCCCCCTTCCCCCCTTTTTCCCCCGCCCCCTCCCTCCCCCGCCTCTTCTTCCCCGCGCTGCACGTTTTCTCTTTTTGGTTTGGTTTTTCCACCTGTCTCTTATACACATCTAGATGTGTATAAGAGACAGGAGTGAGAAGATGGAAAAGAGGAAGGGGGAGGAGGAGGGGAAGAAGAAGAAGAAGATGAGAGGAGGGGGAGGAGGAGGGGAAGAAGCGTAATACTTCGTATAGCATACATTATACGAAGTTATACGAAAAAAAGTTTCTTTATTTATCTTGTATACAATATTACAAATGCAAAAATGCTCCGAAAGTCTAAGAATTTGTGATTCCGTTCCCAGACGTAATGTGTTTTGGTCCTCACAAAACACATTACGTCCATGCACCGCATGACAACCCAACCGCCCCTGTTATTGGTGACCAGCTGACCATTGATG